GCCTGCACACAGTAAGTGCTCAGCAAATGTTTACTGGATTGGATAAAAATCTCACTGTACCCAGAACAGGTGGAGATGCTGGGTGAGCGTCAGGGTGCTCTGAAAACTGCCCACCTGCTGAGGGAGGGAGGTGCCAGGCCAGATGCCCGCCCCCTCATCCCTGCAGCCAACTACCCAGGTGCTGGGAATTGGCCATGTGGGTCCCAAGCACCCATTCTCAGCTTGGGCTTCCTCCTCCCTCTGGGTCAGCTTGGCAGGCTGGGGCCAAGGGGGTCGGATGGCCAAGACCATCCATCCTGGGAAGGAGCTGTGCCCTCCCTGGGCCTGGAGGAATCACCCATGCATCTTCGTTATTCAACATATATGGAGTGCTCCTGCATGCCAGGCCCTGGGCTGGGCAGGGGGCACCCAGTGAGGAGGGCACCCCCCAGTGTGCAGGGAGCTGGACACTGACCCACTGTCCACAAAGACAAATCCATGGTTAAACCATCTGGGGACTACAAAGCCATGCAGTGGGAGAGGGTGGTCAGGGAGGGCTTCCTGGAAGAGGAGGCATGGGCGGGGGGCTGACCCCTGGGGCGGCTCCCACCCACCCCACCTGGAGAATGATGATAAGAAGGAAGTAGAGGTTGGACGTGCGGTGGAACTGCTCGTACAGGTTCAAGGGCAAGAAGGAGAAGGCGTTGTACTTGGCCGTATGGATGACATTGCTCTGCAACGAGAGCCAGTGTGGGCGCACGGCCAGGCCCAGGGCCCCATGGCCCACCGATCCCCACCCTGGCTGCCACCAGCACTGGCTGACCATCTGCAGAACTCAAGGCCTTAGGCCAGCATTAACTGAGCCCCTGCTGGGGGCAAAGATTCATTGAGTAGAACCATGACCCGGAATCTCCCAGAGTGAGGCACACACTGAGGGATCCAAGGTACAGCCCCAAAGGTTCTGCGTTAACTTAGCTGAACACAAACTGGCGCGGGGCAAAAGGCACATCTGAGACTCCTGCCCCAAACCGGGGACTGGGTTGGAGCATGCGCCCCACCCTGCTGAACGGTGGGGAGACCTGCTCCAGGAAGGAGGGGAGGGGCGGGTGGGCCTGCCCACCTTGTGCTTCTTTCTTAGCCAGCACGGGAAGACCTTCTTCTTGAACTGGTTGTTGTAGGCCCGGTCGTTGGCCTTCACCTCCCAGGTGAATGCTGGGGCCAAGGACAAACATCGGCTAATGACATCCCAGAGGAGGGCCCACAGGCCCTCGGGGGACCCAGCCAGTAAACAAAAGGCAGGCCCCCACCCCTGCAGGTTGTAGGTGTGCAGGAACCCGGGTGGATCTGAGGTGCCGCCCTGCCACGCTGGGCCAATCCCTAGGCTCAGAGAGGAGGCCCTGGGAGACCCATTCACACCCACTCCTTCTACAGAGGAGAAAACAGGCCCGGTGGAGGGCCCCATAATGCCTTAGGCCACAGGCCCAGCCGGAGCAGCCCCGATATTTCTGGGCATGCAGCTCCCAACCTGAGTCCAGCACTCAGTCAAGGGCACAGGATTATTTGTAACCCGACAAGAACCCTCGTGGGGCCTCCCCAGCCCCCAACTCTAGACCCTGCACATTGTAAAGCCCCTTCATCTGCTGTGCCTCAGACCCCCACGCCCACCCCTGACCCAGGCCAGTACCTGAGTGCTTCTCCTCCTCCAGGTCTTCTCGGTAGGCACGACTGTCCATGCTGGTGCGGCTGTCAGGGAAGGAGCCCGAGGTCATGCTGGGGGCCCAGCCCTTGAGGAACACTGTCCATGTCTCTGCCCCCAGGAACCCAGGGCTGAGGGTAGTACACCTTCTTTAAAATGTCACCTCCTCGTCCATCTGCCACCCCCTCATGGGCTCTGGAGTTCCAGCCACTGGCTGGGTGGCCTTCCCCAAGTGTCCTCACTCCAGGGGGCCCAGGCCAAACCCCCCAGACCTGCGGCAGCCCCACGTCCACCAGTTCCCCAGCTGGTGACTCAGGTTGCCTCCCCTTCCCCAGTGCCCAGGATGAAGGGTCCTACCTCCAGGCTGCTGCTCTCCACCCACAGTCCAGCCCCCCCCCACCGCTCCCAGGATGATGCACCCATGCCTCCAGGGTCTCCCCACTGCCCCCTCCTGCCCCGAACCATGCACAGCACACAGTGCAGACCTGTTAGCTGCTCCATCCCCGTTTGTTGACTGACTAAATGGGGTTATACTGCATATGTCAGAGGGTTTATGGGAGGGTCTAGCTACTCTGAGAAGTCTGAGGATGGCCAGGGGGCCGCTAACCATGATGGGGGAGATGGAGGCAGACCCCTGACCTTCCTCAGAGCCTGGAGCTGCCTCCAGCTAGTTCACGGTCACTCCGTCCTTGATTGCCAAGAATTTGAGTCTCACCGGGAGCCGGCAGCCCTCCAAGTGACCCCCACCCCAGAGCTCATCAGCGGCCTGCTCTCCCAGCCCTTGCCGGCTGCACCGCCGCCCGCCTGTGCGGGGCCTCACCTTCCGGGCCTCAGCTCGTACTTCTCAGACCGCCCGGGCTTGCTCCTGCGCCTCCTCTGGGCGGCCCCTCGGCTTGCCGCGTCCCCCATCCCCGTCCGATCCCTCCCGGGCTGGGCGCCCGCTCAACTGGGAAGCCCCCGGGGCAGGGACGCTGCGTCTGAGTCACGCTGTCCCGGGGGCCCTGGGGGGCTGGGCGCAGGGCCAGCTCCGAGGATCCCGCGCCAGCGCCCATTCCCCAGATGAGGAAAAGGGGGGCTCCGCCCGTGGGGCCCAGAGCCCGGGAGGCCCGGGGACGCCGTGGGTGCGGGTGCCAGACCCACTCGAGGCGACGGGGGTCAGCATTATGCCCTCGGCGCTGGGCCCCCTAGCCGTACACGAACCCCGTAACTAGGAGCCCCCGCACTCCCGCAGGCTCGGCGCGGGGTTCGACCCTGGACCCGGGCCGGGCTGGTCCAGAGGGTGTGCGCGGGCGCCGGGGCCGCACAGCGGCAGGGATGGGCGGTCCGCGGGCGGCCAGGGCGGCGGGCGGGGCGCAGCTATTAGCCGGGAGCCAACCATCCTGAAACGCAAGGCGCAGGACTAGGGTACGGGGCCAGGGAAAGGGGCGTGGCGAAAGGGGAGGGGAGGGGCCCCTCATGGGCGGGGCATGGGGGCCGGGCGGAGAGTGGGCGGGGATTTGTGGGGGGCGGGGCCAGGATTGGGGTGGTGCTGAGCGCGGCCCTATAGACCAGGACCAGTGTGGGGGCGGGAGGCCATGGAAGGGGTGTGGTCAAGACCGCGCAGGGCCTCACCGGGCCTGGGGACAGGGTGGAGGCGGGGCATCAGGGGGCGCGGCCAAGAGCTGGGGGTGGGGCCCGGATGCAGGGCAGCGGTGGGTCCGTGGCTTGGAGCCGCAGGGCGGGATGAGGGGGGTCTTACCGGCGTCAGTGCTAAGGGGCTGGTGCTCGGGGCCGAGCCTTGTGAAGCAGGGCTTGGGGGTGTGGCTTGGACTCCGCAGAAGCGGGGCCCACTGTGGGGCAGCGGCGGAGGAAAGAGAGGCAGGTAACCGCAGGTCCTGGGCGTGCGTGTGAGTTGGTGCCCGGCTTCCCGCATGGCCAAGTGGGCACCCGGACGCGCAGAGGCCCTGGGGGGTGGGCAGGCTGACAGGCCGACAAAGGAGGCTCCTGTCCAGTGTGTGGCCTTCCTGAAGGAGGTGACAGCAGGGGGAGACAGCGAGGAGGCCGCGGCAGCGTCCCTGCCCGGGATGGTGTGCCTGAGCCAGAGATGGAGGCTGCGTGGGAAGTGGCGGGGTAATGAATGAATGGCGAGGGCGGCACACTGTGGCCTCCGGGACACCGGGTAAAACCCTCTTCTTTCATTCCTTACACAACAAACGTTTATCCAGCACCTACCCAGCGGTTAATGAGAAAGACCTTAGGGGGAGGGGCTTGTACAAATTGCAGTAGCCTTCAGGGGGCCTTGCTATGTATGAGGAGGGGACTGATGGATTTTCTCCCCGGGTTTTGAAAAGGCCGTGTGGCTTCCCGGAGCAGGCTGAAAGCCTGCACACCTCCGGAGCCTGCATGCCTCCCTCTCTGGGAGCCGCATCTGCCCGCCACCTGGTTGTGCTTTAGGGAAGCAGGGAGAGAGACACCTTCCAGGAACCCACAGGAATGGGGCTTCTGTGAAGCTGCCTGCACCATTTATTTAGAAAACAGCTCCTTGTTTACAGAAGATGTGTAGGGGAGGGCAAGAGCCCCAGGGGGCTGGACGGTGCCAGGAGCTTAACTGGATCAGGGCCTAGAGAAGAGGCTCCATGTTCTCAGCCCTGGACCCTGCTCGCTTGGCCTTTTGCAAAAGCCCGAGTGACAGGGGGCCTCCGCCAGGCAGCCCTGTTTCCAGCACCTTTGTGCCCCCTGCTGCTGGACACAGAGCCCCACCACCTCCCACTTCAGGAACTTTCTGGCTTCACTTTCCCTCTAAATGAAGTGAAGCTAGAGACATGAGCAACCCTGGCCCTTCCACCCTAATCACAAAGGGGCCCAATTGTGGCTGGGCACCTAGGCATTTCTGGGAGTGGGAGAGGTGCACAGGGGGCCAGTGGCCACTGCCCTTCCCATAGTAGCTTCCCAGATTCAAGGCAGTGGCTTTCCCGGTCTCATCCCCCACCCCCTGCCCCCCACAGGCAGACAGGGCAGCAAGCAAACACGGCTGCACGTGCAGGCCTTGGCCACCGGCTGCACTGTGGTCCCCGAGGCAAGGCCACAGGGCTCAGGGCCTGCTTCCCCGGGCAGGCTGGCGGCCCGACGTGGGTTGGGACAGAAGCTGGTTCTCAGAGAGGTGAGCCAGGTTCCCACCCTGCTCCCCAGCAGCGGCCTCACCAAGAACAGGACCAGATGCCAGGTCTAAAATCCATACAAACATTTATTCTGTCCCTGTTGGGGCTGGTCGAGGGGGTCAGGGCACTGGGCTGTGGGCCTTTACACACAGCCTCGTGAGAAGGGCAGGGGCTCCAGTGAGGCCTGGGGGGAGGGTGGGGGGACTGGCTTGGTTCCCAGAGGTCCTGCAGTCCAGGTAGGCTGCGCCAGGGAAGGGGGCTCCTGGGCCCAGCCGGCTGGCCAACCCCGGCCCAGGAAGGCAGGCAGCACCAGGGTCCTGCTGCTCCAGGTGGGAAAGACAACGGTGCAAGTCATCAGGCTTCAATTAAAGATAATGAAAATACAAAACAAAAGAGGACGACCCCGTCTCAAACCTGCACGGCCCCGGAGGTGGGGGCCGGGGCGGGTGGTCTCGCGGGGGGGGGGACACGGCGGCCCTCGCGGGCTGCAGCAGCCTGGAGGGAGGGGTCCAGGGTGGAGGGGGCGGGGCTGAGCGGGGCCGCGGGGACTCCGGCGGCATCCTCACTGGAGCTGTGCCCGTCCACTGCGGAACAGCGCAGCGTCAGGAGGGGCCGGCCTGGCTGCTGGGCCCCCCGCCCTGTCCCCCGGCCACTGCCGGGCCCTCACTGTTGTCCTGGATGGTCTGTCTGAGGTACTCGGTCATGAGGGTCCTCAGGGAGCGCTTGTATGGCAGGCCCAGGCGGTGTGGGAAGAGCAAAGCCGTGTCCACCACGGTGCTGGGGATGGCCTAGGGACGCACGGCAAGGTGGGACTCGGCGCCCAGGGCCCAGGCGTTCCGGGGTAGTGTGGCCACAGAGAGAGGCAGGCTGCAGACACGGACCCTACCCCCTACCCGCGGGCATGGGGCCTGCTGTGAGCAGGGCCAGGGCAGTTGGGCACCTTCAAGGCCAGCAGGTCACTCTCCAGGCTGTGTCCGATGAGGATGGTGTCAGCGCTGAACATGCTCAGCAGGACAGCCTGGACGTCCCGGAGAGTGATGCTCGTATCGGCAAGGTCAGCCTCAGTCACCCCTGAAAACCTGGAGTGGGAGGTACAGGGTCCTGAGGGCAGCTGGGAGGGCACCAGGGCCCCACCTGGCAGCTGGGTGGGCTGAGCACGGCTTGAGTGCATGTGGGCAGGGCTAGGGCCCTACCTGGTGTTGTAGTCCACGATCTCATTGTCCGGCTTGACGAAGGTGTCGTAAACGACGTGCATGTCCGTGTCCACCACTGTGACGCGCGTCAGCTCCAGGCCGTAGGTGGTGTAGGACTGCAGGGCCAGGGATTCACCCTCAACTCCACCTCCCCTGCCACCCAGGCCCCGCCTACCAGGTGCCCGGGCCCTTTTCAGACAGATTCGCCAACTGGGCCAGAGACCTTTGGGCTCCTGTGGCCACTGGAGCGAGCGGACCTGGGGCGCCCCTTCCCAGAGCCCACACAGCCCCTGCACAGCGTGTGACGGGTGCAGGCAGGGATCCAGGCACGGGCGGGCAGGCGCTGGCAAGGCCCGGAGGTGCCAGACACGGCTCGACGCACGCCGGGGCTGGGACCTGTCTGCTGTCCCGCTGTCACCTGCTCTTTACCCCAAGACCTGCACTGCCTCAGGGCTCGGGCGGAGGAGCAGGGACGGCCCGCGGCAGCCAGGATGCCTGTGGTCCTGAGCAGCAGCGAGGGCCTGATGGGTGCCCGTAGTGGCTGCTGGGTGACTCACCATTTCACAGTCGAGGGCAAATATTCCTGGGTGGGCATCTTCTGAAAGCTCTTTATCAAAGGTCTTCACGAAGCCTTCGAGGTTTTCCTTCCGGCCATCCTGCACGTGTTGCTGGGAGCGGGGGCGGGGGGCGGAGGTGAGGGTGCAGGCTCGGGGGCTGCGGCAGGAGGGGCCTCAGGAAAAGCCAACAACCGGGCGGACCCAAGGCAGGAGGAGCGGGACTCAGGGCTCCAGCCTGGGCTGTACCTCAGCCCCTCAAGGTTGGGGGGCGCTCCAAGCAGGGCCCAGGAGACCTACCTTGGCAACCTGGCAGCCGGTGGAGCCAACGGCGGCTAAGCAGCACAGGTACTGGGTCTCCCAGCCACCGGCCACTGAGAGCGAGACGCGGTCAGGGCCCGTCCAGCCACCAGGCCCCATCCCGCCTCCCGCAGGTGGCTCTGGTACCGGCTGCCTGAGTGGGGCAGGGGCTTCCCAGACAGGACCCCGCCCTGGGCCAAGGGACTGGGAGCCCCCTGTCCTGGGAGGTAGCAGGCTCCATGAAGGGGAGAGGATTTGGGACAGGAGGGCCCTCCCTGGTTTCGCAGTGGGTTCACGCCCAGACACGGGTCCCCACAGGAAGGTGGGGATGATACCCCACATGCCCGGCAGAGATGGGTGTGCAGGAGGCTGGCAGGCAGCTCGAGAACACGAGTGTCCCCAGAGCGCGAGCCGGGCGACTGGACGCAGCCACGGGCCAGGACGGGCCTCCCCGTGCAGGCAGGTGGCCCCCTGGGCACCGGGCCTGGGAAGCCGGTCACGGGAAGCCATTCATACTGCCTTTGGCACAAAAAACAAATGGCAGAGACTAAACTGGGGTCAGAGGCAGGGGCCCGGGTCTCACCTCGGTTCCGTCGGAGCCGCCCCCAGTGGTAGGAACACTCCTGTCCCGCACGCAGCGGCCCGAGGGCGACACGAGGTACTCGGCGCCACAGCGGCAGCAGATCCTGCAGGAGGCTGTGGGGGCCGGGACGGCCGGCATCAGGGGGCCGCCCCTCCGCGCGCACCGCACCCATGCTGGCCCCCGACGCGCAGCCCAGCCCCACGCGGCCGCGACTCACAGTCCTTGGGCTCCTCCTCCTCAGCCGTGAAGACGAGGGCGCCGCCTGGCCGCCCAGGGTGCGGGAACGGGTAACCGTTCTCCTTGAGCTGGTCCTCGGTGAGCAGGTACTCCTGAGGCGGCCGTACAGGGCGGCCCCCGGGGGTGGCGGGGGGCAGGCGGCCCGCAGCCGGGCCAGCTGGGGCAGCCGCGTGGGGATACCCCTATCACGTGAATGCTGTTCCGTTTGCATTGGTCACACCGTTCTCTCGATATTCTTTCATTCTTAGGGATCCTTTTTTCTCTCTGTGCCTCAGTGCCTTTGTATTCCTCTTCTCTAATTTCTTTTCCATTAACTGTCTCTTCTACTACATCTAACCTGCTTTTAAATCCCTCCCCTGTATGTTCCATTTCAGATATGGAATTTCTTAATGATTGACTCTGTCTTAAATTTGTTCCTGAATTCTTGAATATTTTTCTGTACCTCCATGAGCATGTTTGTGATTTTTATTTCAAACTCTCTTTCAGGAAGATTGGTGTGTTCGGTTTCATTCGGCCCTTTTTCTGGGCTTTAGGAGATTTTGGTCTGAGCCAGGTTCCTTTGATGTTTCATATTTCTGTGTGGCTCCCTCTAGTGGCCAGAAGCTCCAGTCTCTGGAGCTGCTCAGCCCCTGGAGGGAGGCTGGGGGTCGCAGGGGAGCGGCGCTGGTGCCTGGGCGGATCAAAGAGCTGTTCCTTGCTTCCCGGCTGCAGTGCCTGTCCCCAGTGTCAGAGCCAGTTGGCAGGGCACACACGTGTAAGCCCCTGTGCTTTGCATCTCTAGCTGTTGTCGCAGGGCCTCCCTCTGACTGGCCTGATGGTTCCCGAGCTGCTGCCAGCAGGCCAGGAGGAAGGCGCAGCAGGCATCGCAGTGGGGGCCTTGGAGCTGAGTAGCCAGCCAGCGGGTTGGTGCACCTGAAGCTCCTCAGAGTTCCCAACCTGCTGGGCAGAGCGCACCCAGACAACCTCGTCCCCCTGTCCCTTCTCCCGCGCAAGCTCCGTGCAAACTCGCCCCTTCAGCAGCCCTCTTGCTGCTAGGAAGCCTCTCTGACCCCCTGCCTTTCCTTTGTCCCAGAGCGGCCAGATGTGGATCCCCTTCCTCCACAAACGGCCCGGCCCGGAATCTCAGTCTCTCAAGCGCTCCCGGTCCCAGCTCCTCAACACCTCCAAACTCCACAGCACCACACAACATAGGTTTGTGTTCCAAAGCAGATCCCCAGGGCTGGGTGTTCAGCAGTGCAGGGCTTCCACCCCCTCCCCACTCCATTTGTCTTCCTCCGGCCGGGGAGCTGGGGTGGGGGAAGGGCTCAGGTGCTGCCGGATCAAGGCTTTGGTAGGTCACCCTGTTCCGTGAGGTCGGCTCTGTTCTCCAGGCGTATGCAGTCTGGGGCAGCCTTCTTTCCTGTTGCTGTTTTAAGGCTAGTTGTATTAACTATATTTTTGTACTATATGTGGTTTTGGGAGGAGTTCTCTGTCTCACCTCGCATGTCGCCATCTTATATCTAGACCTACCATATTAATGGGAAAACAATTAAGTGAAATGATTATGCACTAGTAATCCACTTTGGCGCATCTGTGAAGACCAGGGAAGGATCACGGTGAGAGTTCTGGAACTGTGTACCATGGAGAAGGGAAAAACAGGACCATTAATGCTGGGGAGTTGCAAATGCATTGAAATTTTTTTTTTTTTTATTGAAGGGTAGTTGACACACAAGATTACATTAGTTTCAGGTGTACAACACA